TTTTCCGTCAAATCACAATTTTTTAATAATAAGAGACGTTCCAATTTGTAAATCGATCATTCGATGCGGAACGTGAAATGATGTTTTAAATATTTTATATTTTATTATCTTATTATTAAAAAATTGTGATTTGACGGAAAATATTAAAATATTAATGTTTATTTTATTAAATGTTTAAATTTTTATCGAATTTGACAAGTTACGTCTTTATTATACTTTTCAAAAGGTAATTATCAGTACGGAACTGCTTACCCTGTTGGCTTCTATGGATTCATCGTTTATAACCTCACTTCTTTGCAGTTCCTCGGCATCAGCTGAAGAGAAATTATGAGAAGATATACGGTGAATCATTCTGGACATTTAGTTATCTAGCATTACAATAGCTTGTCTGTCGTTTATGATATTGTATAATAAAATAAATGCTATTAGGAAACTTTCATTCTTATTAAACTGTTACAAACTTGGTTGGTAGTAATATGTACATAATCTTAAAACTAATTCGGGTCTATGTCGACCTACCAGTTTCTTAATTTGGTGGCAGAAATTTGGTCTATGTTAATTTCATCACATATACTTGCCATCACTTATTCCTGTTGCCTTTTGACACATCTTCGCATCTTCCTTTCGTGAAATAGCGTTTGTCTGAAATAGTTTATAAAGCGATTTTTAGCCTACATTTTGTGTTCAGACTGAAATAACATACGTAAAAATACTTTTATAGTAGATATATTTTCGTATAAGTTCAGAAGTGGTTCCCTACGTCGAACTGAATTTATAATTTAATGGAAGAGCTATTAAGCACACTACAGTAATTTTCAAATTCAATTTTTATCTTACTTCTTAAAAACGTTTGATTTTGTCTCCGTCGAAAATTATTGTGTGGATGAGATAAAACAAATATTGACCTTAAGGTGAAGAATCCAGTTTACTGTAGTGTATTATATATAATTACGTCCTATACAAAATAAAATATTAGGGGGATACGTTTCAAGGTGTAGTAATTATAATAAAACATGTATGGGCTGTGATAAATTGCGGAATTGTAGGTGGCTAACAACGTTTAGGAGGAACATACTGCCTCCATATTCATAAATATACTTTCAAAACATTGGTATCGACCTACACGTCCACACTTCATCACACATCAGAAGAAAACCATGGATATTCATAATCTGAAATATAAATCGGGACCGCTAAGTTTTCGCAGTACAGAAAGGAACACGCCCTTAAAAATACATTGGAGAACTCGTAGAAAATGAATATGTCTGACATTGTTCTGAATTTAGAAGTATTTTGTGCATTTTTGAAACTTGCGAAGCTTTAGAATGCAAGGAATCTAAGCGTACCTGGTTCTTAGCAACAAAACATAATTCTGTTCATGTCTCAGACTTTATATATACGAAGTAAAATAGACTTTTATGTAAATGTGCCATCCATATCTTATAATGTCATAAATGTGTTACTAAACTTACAGGTGTTCCAGTTGAAACGTAACAGAAGACACTAAGAAAAACGATAACTTTCGTGAGCATCTCTTTTTGTTTGTCTTGTGTGAGCTGTAGATTAAAAACTGGTGACTGCACACATCAACTCTTGCCGTTCGAATGTTTGCTCAACGTATGGTGATTCTGACGACCATGAAACGTGTTGTTCCCGTGATGCAACATCCGCAAATTAAAATATAAAGGTCGTTTCAAAACTCAACATAGTGACAGTAGTTGAATGGAGATAAGGATCTTCTGATGAAATGGTTTTGGTTAGGAAAATTAATAAAAGCGAAAACATGTCACGTTACAGAGAGCCGCTATTCCGTGACTTAAAATTTTGGAGATGAAAATTATTCACATCTTAGTGTTTCAATAGCGGTAACCGTCGACGGGTTACGTACCTGGAATTAAAGTATTTAACTGTGATCTCTCTTGTCCTGTCTTCAGGCTCATAAATGTTCTCACGTATGCTGAACCCATAATTATTGCGTGACATAATTATTTTAGCCAACTGCGTAACAGAGTGAATATGACTCAAGTTTATACGTTATGTTCTACATTTTAGATTCGCGATGGACGACACAGTTACGTTTAATATATTGCTCACAGATTTATTTCCAAAGCATCACAGTTTCTTTTCATTCTAATTTAACTGCTTGGAATGCAGGTATATAAAGCCTGTTCTAAACACAGTATCAACAAAATTTTTGATTTTTCTATCAATTTCTGGAACGACTTATATTTATTTTGTCGATGGGTAAAATAAGACAGGGTTAACTTTTATAATTTGTCCCCCCGAATTTTCTGTATATTTCTTTCCTATTTTATCGGTAATTACGTAATGCCATCCACTACATTCTGTACTTGTAATCTGCCGTTTTATTTGCATATCTTACTTAGCCCAATTTTGTAAATGAGAGCAGGGGACTTAGAAATTTACATTTGCTACATTAAAATGTTGGTTATCTCTGTTGTTGAGAACTCACACCTCACTTTCTTTTAAGTGCGTTGTTTACAGTGGTAGCTTATACTATATCATGTTGTGTGCTCTTAATTTACTGTCATTTTTATTTATTTTTTGCCAAAAATTCGTTTTATTATGCTGTTATTAGACCTACATATATGCAGCTTATGTCGTCATGACTCTCATGTAATGCGAATTTCTCTTTAACAGACGCTTGAATTCCGTAACTTGGTCAGTACTTTTCCCACCTTTTAAGTCTACTTTTATCATTGGCACGCAGTCGTATTGGTTTTGCTTTTGATGCTGTAGTTTGTAAATTACCTTTCTTTGGGATGTGTCTTCTATAAGTGGTGTTCTGAAAGTTCTAATTAATCTTCCGATTTGAGTATCAATATCTCATCCTGTACTCGCAAAACTGTGTTTAATGTGTGTCTACTCGGTAGTTAAATCCAACTATTGATATCTTTAAATGTCTTAATATAAATAATACTGGCGATAACTCACGTATTTTATTACTCGGTTGATAGGTTAAGAGGTTTTATCAAAATTCTTGTATTATCGTCAGTGCTTTTATATGATAAATCAGAATGAATACAATCTACTTCCCACTCTTAAGTTCGACCTTTGGTCGGTCTCGGGATGCAGTTTCGTGCTAGACTGTAAATGGCGAAGGAAGGAGATGGGGTTCATATTCATGTGTCCTGAACAGGGTAACATTGAGGCAATGGCCCTGGGCAAAGTATGATTTTCGGTATACCTTCTGATTACCTTTACTTTAGAAAAACATCTATAATATTATCCCCGTACAACATTTATTGTAGGAGCCCAAATAGGTCAGTATAGAGAATGGGGTAAGGGGTTCGATTTATCTTTACCATAACATGAAGATCAACTCTGGAGCACTTCCAGCCTCCAATTGAGTGGGTAAAATAGTTATTTCGTCAGGGGAAAGGCGGTCAGGGTGTGAAGTTCGTAATTAACCTCCATCTAGTGTCGGGATTGGGAATCTGTTGGACGCATCCAGTCGTTGATATCTTATTGATCATATATGACAGAGATTTAATTTATTATTGAGAATGTGAAAGACAGAATAAACATGAATATAGAGGATATTAAGGATTATCAGTTTAAGAATACTTAAAAATACAGACGAGATATTATTATCCAAAGCCTAAGACAGAAATTTAGTTAATAAATGTTTGTTGCTATTATTTAAAATTTATTCTCTGTAGCTGCAATGCAGCCTGAAATTTAGCTGTTGATGTTACTGAAAAAATGTGTTTGTCTGTAGTTTTAAATTTCCTGGTACTTATGAAAATAAGAATATGAAGGCCGGTCATATGCATAATGAAAATAGAACATAAAAAAATAAGAAAATGTATAGCAAACCATGAAGCCCTTGAAGAACGAACCTTATCTAAACAATATATAAAAATTCAGTCCGTACCTCAAGGTATACGCCGGGATAGCTCAGTCAGTATAGTGACTAGCTACGGGCTGGACGACCGGGGTTCGATCCCCGACGGGGGCAGAGGATGTACTTTTTACCTCAAGGTATACGCAACACTTCAACTTAATAAAGAAGAATTTCGTAATGCTGTTTAAGGAAATAATCGCTATTTATTCTATTTATTTTATACGGAACACATTCTGTAGGAAAATGTCAGACAAACGTAGTGCTAACGTACGTGGTGCGTATAGTTAACATTGTACATAAGAAGGATTGATGGAAATTCATTAAAATAGCATTTTAGCATGTTTTTATTTGTATGTTTTTTTATTCTACTTAATAGTTATATTAATTTGATTTTGATTATTTTGGAGTTAAACTTTTCAGCGTCTTGGGGACAAATCGCAGTTCCAGAACGATGTAATAATAACGTTGATCAGGATAGTATAATTTACGTTTCAACAAAAAGTTAAATAACTGAGCTCGTTTTTCTAACGATTACTAAAATGTTGAGTTACATTAGGCTTGGCTGTTTGAACGTGGTTGCTGGTGTTTCATAAAGCGAAATAATACTGTTTTAAGCACGTGTTTTTGCGTTCGTTTATTTCTCAGGAACGGATATACATATTTAGACCAAACTTGCCATGCTTGTGCCTTGGATCCAGGAAGGGATTTTAGAAAAGTCAAAGTGTCGAATCTGTCTGTCGGACACTTGCAAACTTTACTATAGTCCCTTAGTTTATTTTCTGTTCTGCTACACTCCGAGCCATATCGCTTAAGCAGGTCCACGATTTGTACGTCTTCATACATTTTCCATCACCATCTGAAAGATATTGAGTAATGCATTTGAAGATTACTTCGATAATTTTCTGGGCGTTGTGTAGTAATCTCAATAACTTAATTATTTTCAGTTGAAATTCAAATTGTGTTCCACAGATAGCTCTGAATAAGCATGCACACAATTTCTTTAATTACAGGAGCCACCTCTAGAATCTAGAAACCAGAATAAATATATATCAGAATTGGAAATTACGTGACGTTAATTTATTCAGTAACGCTGGAGCTGCCACCTGTACGATGTCATCAGAACTACATGGCGCGATTGTGAAAAGTTATATCAGTTTGGGATATTTAATCTACAGAAATATAATATGAAGATTTAACTGGAATAGTCAGGCTTATGAGTGGGATTGGTGGTGGCTTCTAAAGATCATAATAGTGAACCTTCTGGTTGCATAAAAGGCGAGGGATACCTTCAACAGCTGAGTTAGTGTTGGCTCCTCAATAATAAATGTGTTCCATGGGATTAATTTAACTTGAAAGCTTTCCAATAAGGTGACGCACGTTGTTACGACTGTAATACGAAAGTATCAAGAATAAAAGTTAAAATAAGACATCCTAGTGTTTAATCTATGTTTAGAAGAGACAAGAGTAGTTGTAAAAAAATGTAGATATTTGTTCACCTTTGTTACCGCAGTCTGTAATTGAAGACTTTATCTTGTTTATGTCAACTTCCTTGCCTTGTGATTTTACGTACTGTACCAAGTCTTGCGCCTGCGCAATAACAGTGTCAGCATCAAGGTTGTCCCCTTTAAGCTGAAAAATAAAATATATTTTTCAATACAGTGACAGGAACATGCCAAGATTGGATGTGATTCTACTTCCTCAAGTATTATGTACAATAATTAAGTTCTTATTAAGAAAACTTACAGAAGTACAACACTGAACATATGTACTTACAATTCCAAATTCTGTCATCAGGCATTGTATAAAGCACTGAAACAAAAGAACATCTTGTATCATAGACGAGCCTCAACTTGAAATAGTTAATAGTTCAGTTATTTCTATTTTCTGAGTACTGTTGACAATAGGTTCATAGCTTTTGAAGTGAAATAATTAAGTAATGCCATTTGCAAATGTCGTAATATTGGAACTAAGGGAAGAAATGCAGATGCAACTGATTACTCGGGTTCATGGACTTCTATTTGTGCTGATAGATCTACGTCTTTTTGTAAGATTGCATTCCACGATGTTGTTTACGGGACTTGAAGTGACGGAATTAGTTTTAGTGTAGATTTCTGTCTTCTGGGTTGTTGCGCTGTGTAGTCTGGTCGATGTTAACCAACGTTTCAGAGGTCATACTGCCTCCGTCATCAGGGCGATGAGTATGAAGATTTCTGTCTTCTGGGTTATTGCGCTGTGTAGTCTGGTCGATGTTAACCAACGTTTCAGAGGTCATACTGCCTCCGTCATCAGGGCGATGAGTATGAAGATTTCTGTCTTCTGGGTTATTGCGCTGTGTAGTCTGGTCGATGTTAACCAACGTTTCAGAGGTCATACTGCCTCCGTCATCAGGGCGATTCATCGCAACAACCCAGAAGACAGAATCTTCATACTCACCGCTGTGAAAACCTTAAATCTTACATAGTTTTAATGACTTTGTATCATCCTTTGAATCATCTTACCCTTCCCACTTCATTTGACTCGTCTTTCAAGGTCATCGATCCTTCATTCAAGATACTCTCAACTGAAACAAGAATGATAACATGAGAAATATCGGACACATTTTCTTTCAAAAACCCGTCTTTTATTTAGGAGAGTCATACTTACGATCAGAGACGCCTTGAGATTTTTGACATTTATCCACAGCGGCGGACATTTCGTTCTGAAATATGAAATTAATATGCTGGCATAAGTTGAGTAGTAAACACGTCTTTGAAATATGTGATATCAGCTCTTGAGACACCCTATGGAAATTCATGAAACATGCAAACACGGACAGCGAGATGACTCTTGACAGAGTCCAAATCAAGGGGCATGAGATTAAATAAGCAGATGGATGTTTTGTGGGTTGTAGCGCTGGGTAGTATGCTAGAAGTTTACCAACGTTTCAGAGATCCTTGCTGTCTCCATCATCATGGCTATCGCCCTGCGAGTACAAGGACTTCTAAAACGTTGGTAAACTTCTACAAGACTACACGGCGCTACAACCCGAAAGTCTGCCATATTCATACTAGCATCCTTTAAAACCTCAGATCCTGCTGTGATTCAATATCTTTGGTTTTTGGGTATGATGCGTTCGTGGTAATAATTTTTTTAAGTTTTAATGGTAACTATGTGTACCACCTATTTGCATATTAATTAATTCTGCATTTTGTCTTCATAATAGGTTTCATTTGATTACCATGATAAGCAGCGATAATTTTTTTAAATAACATTAGTAATTAATGTTTGTGATTGAGACGGATTGTGTTTTCTTAGAGGTCGTGACGAAATTTTTAAATATTACCAATATGAATTTTGGCTTCAGAGTGCTAAATGTTTATTATAACAAATTTTATTTGAAATTACGGTCGTATATCTCGACACAGTTGTTTTAACATGCTCTGGTATTACAATGATTAGTTTTGTGAAATATGAAATATAATTTCATGTAAGAGGAAGAAAGAGTGAAGACGATTCTAAGACGGTGTGATGGTTTTCTGTAGTCGCTACTTCAGGTTCTTCCTGGGAATGAAGCTCTCATGGGCGTGGGATGATACTACTGAACACGGAATAGGTTTTAGCCAACGATCCAGCATCCAACCTCCTTTAGCTTACTGTCGTAACAGCAAACTCTGAATAATATATATAAGTGCCCAGTACCAAGTTCTGTCTGGGTGGAAAGTTATCGCTCAAGCCTGGAATGGGGTATCATTTAAATATATACTTCTCCTTTCAAGTATTTACAAAACAACTGCTCTCAGTTTTCGTTAAAAGTGTAGACAAAACAGCTAAATCTAATTATAATCCACTGAAAATATCGAAAGAGAAAATTCTGCGTGTATTACTTATTAGCATAGCTCCAGGAGTATTAAAAACTGAATGCAGCTGAATTAGTGAGCTACACGTGATTAGAGCTCTGCGATACTTAACGCCGATCTTACGTAACACTGATTCATGGATTGTGAGATTTTTCCTGTCGGAAGCGAGATGACGGCGAACTGCTGTGGAGTGCATAGTAAATAATCATGCCCGGTTTAAATTAGGGCCCCGACACAAATTTCGCGTGGTAGGTGATATGCCAGTTTTATGAAGAAATTGTCGCGGTTGCTAAGAGCTGACAGGCGCAGTTGTGTTGGCGAACTAAACTTAAATTAATTAATTTTTTAAATTAGATTTGGAGAGAGAACACTGTAGTTGTGCTGTCGTAGGGCATTTGTAAGCCTCTTAAGCTCCCTTTGCGAGAAACGAGAGTATCGATACGTACCGAGAGAACGGCTACAAATTTATTAAAAGTAAAGCCATGCAAACCCACACTTGGGCTCTCTTTCAAGCCATGTGAGGCAGTGGCCAGATGTAATTCGTATAACTGCTGTCTAAGTCGGTTCATAACAGAGGACGTGATTCAGAGTTTACGTCATTTTTTCGACAAAGCTTGGTTTTATTTGAATGGATTCGTTAACCCAAATAACAATTACTGAAGCACAATACAAATAATTCATATTGAGCTGTGTTAATATAGTCTACATTTTATTTTGATTACAAGATTATAAATATTGTTATTTGGGGAAATCGAACTCCAAGGGACTTTTTCCTTAGCTGTTTCTGACAATAATAGGAAATTTATATTTCATATAATGTTCTTACAAGAACACTCCTTGCTGTAGTGTAATTTTATTCGTGACCAACACAAAGTAAATATTGCACAACGTGAATTTTGCAAGATAGTGTAATGCCACTTTATTTATCACAGATGCTGCTAACTCACAGCTACTCGCGGCACAGCTGACGACTATCCTCACTGTATTAAGATCGCTGAGATCCTCGAAGAAATTATTGTCGTATTTGGAAGTATAAAGGATATTGTGTTCGGAACAATTCTTTGAATGTGCCGTTAACTTTTATAACTTAAATAGAAGATTTTTTTTGCAAGGAATACATAAATGAAACTTTAGTTGTGTCACGCACTTAGTACGACGTTAATGCAGATATCACAGTATCATCTGCAAATAAGTTTTCACGACTTTGCGTTAATTAATAACGAATACATTTTGAAACTTTCCGACCTGCTTTGAAGTTATGTGTAACAGTTTCCATGTTTGCGCTATGTTCCGAATACCAATTTAAGTATAATCTTTCACTGGATTTATTATTGAGGTTCACGCTGGTGGCTTTAGTGAATAACAATAATTATAAATAGGAAACACATATCGCTTCCCTCTCAGAATGAGTAATTTAGGTCTGGTATTGAACCTGGACCCCCGGATGGTTACTACCTACTATGATTAATGCCCAAAGTGTTAACTCTCACAGTTTTGTGAGACGTAGACTGATCCAGCTTTGTTCGTTTAGAATACTGGAGTTAGAGACAGTGTAAACTTACCGCAGGATAAGCTGCCGTGAGACAAATTATGACCACAAGAACTGAACACGAGACCTTGATCATGATGGCAGTAACGGATATAAAAGTGCAAGCTCTTCCTGGCGCTGACTCGGAGTGGAACACATTGTCCCGTCCATCTGTATTTATATGAACAAACACGTATCGGTGAATCACAAATAGGCCTGACCGTAATTTTGTTTGACAGTTTTATGAATGGACGCTGAGCAGGAATTACCAAGAAGGTGTTGCAACCATGAGAATGTCACAGTTGGAAGAAGAGCGATTTAAGTTACAAGCAGATTGATGATTCATTTATATATTCAACAGCAGAACAATAATTTATATATTAACACTACTATTCACCAGAACGATGTTTCCTGTACGATTCGAATTGGAAATAACTTTTTATTAGGTCAAGGGAATATTTTGATATTGTTATTTGTTTATATGCCGGAGAGTCTGTTACCAATAATAATTGATCAATGTAATATTTGGAAGTCTCAAGTGTAGACACAAAAATTATAAAAATTTACTTAACTTAAAAACCCAGGATGATTATTTCAGTAATTAAAATGTGTATGCCTAAGATCTTTAATGGGTTCTTATGGACGTAGTTAAACACGACACATGAATTTAATTTTCGAAATGTGTTAAAAGAAAGGAATAGATTTATTCCCATTCTCATTGTGGGACATGTCGTATTCACTAAGGACTATAGAAGTGACTCTACTGTTGATTTATTGCCTACATTCTGAAACACGTCTGAAACGTCGGTAAACTTCTACCAGACTACACGGCGCAACACCCAGAAGACAGCCGTCTTTGATATATTTACTATTATTTTAATTAAACATGCCAGGACCTTTCAAATGCTATTCTGGCATATGTACTGGCAGATCTTTGAGATAAAACAAGACAATTAATTCGTTGAAGCTGGCTGAAATGGTGTTTAAAAATCGAGTTCTTGCATCAGAGAAAATAAAACACGTCTCAATTAAAAGGATTAACTGGGTAATGCTGTTTAAGTGAATAATCTGAGTTTATTCTGAGAACAAACGAAACTCATTAATACCTTGCTTGGAGAAATTGCAGTAGTGTAGTGATCGTCAAAGGAATTGGTATATATAGTTACCACCGGGTTTTAAAGTGCTATATCTCACGTATACGAGACGTTTCCCTACTTCATAAGTACTGTAATTATCCAAGAGACTGATCTTGACTATCGAATGCCATGGAGTCAAACATTAGTGTTATTTTTAAGCGTTTTAATTACGAATTTGTTGGTAGATCGGTTTTGCATGAGATTTTAGAAAATATAATTAACTTTTCCCGTCGTTGCCAGTAATATCCGGCAGACTGAACAGGCCTGAAGTCTGAACAACAAAGCCGGTTTGTTTGACGAGATAACGCGTGATGTCACTGGCAGTCTGTGTCTCTGAAACAGTATATTTTGCCTTGTGTTTGCGTGTCATACCTGAGTCTATAGGAACAATTTGACAGTTATTTTTGATGGTATAACTTGTGTATACATGCTATTCGTTGCTTGTCAAAACACATTTTATTGTAGAAGAAATAACCTTGTAAAAACATTTGAATGACGCTGGTATAATAATCAGAGCAAACACTTGTGCATGTTCATCTTTATTCACTTTCCCCATATACGCCATATATGAAATTGTTGCATTATGTGGGGAAATAAGAACTTGTCTCAAATTTTAGGTGCAAATTCACGGCGAAGTGAATGAAGATGGCTGTCGTGTGGGTTGTTGCGCCGTAAGTTACCGACGTTTAGGAGGTGCTTACTGCCTCCGGAGACAGCTATCTCCATGATCATTTAATTTGTAGTCATATGAAAAATACCTCGAAGTGTGGAGATGTTTCCACGAAGTACGCTTTGCATTAATGAAGAGTTGGAAGAAGATGCACCGATTATACCATTTAAAACGCAACCCAACCTCTTTCTTCAGAGGGATGAATCAACGGAGTTGCGCAACACACAGGTTGCCTGGTTTGTCTGACCATTTCTCCATGCACTATTCCCTGTCAAAGAAGCGACTGTGAACCCCCGATTAAATTGATATTAGAGTTTTATCTCCTTTGTAGATTAAACAGCCCAAGGGACTTCTATTTGAAACATTTAACTGGCTTGTTTACATGTAAATTAACGGAGAGTTGTACATGAATGTAAAACTGACATGTTTTATTCCCCAATATGAGTCATCAGTTCAAAATTTTGAACTGGTTTAGGGGCGAATTGACTGGTTTTACTGGAGGGTAGGGCTAATAGGGTTCATAGTCTCGTGGGAGGAACAGATTGAGAAGCTATCTCCCCCTTTCTCCTCTGAGTAAAATATTGCTCTGCGTGTGAGAGAAAGAGAGACAATGTCTGTAGTGTGTTCTGATATTCACGATTAAAACAAATTTTATTGCCTTATTATTCAGTATAATTATTTGCTTTTACTTAAATATATTTCAGTCTGAATCTGAAGAACCATTTTTACATCTTCTGTTGGCCATGATTAATTAACTATTTTCTGGAATCGTTAAATGCAAGAAGATAATTTAATTACGTTATAGAAATTTATGCATACCTAGTATCATTATCTTTATTTATGGGTCAGTTATTAAATTATTTAACGATGATATTTAATATGTATAGGTTATGTAGCCATGTGTCTGCGGTGATTTAAGTTCTTCAAGTGCATAATTACATAGAGAATACAAACTAATTGTAAATGATAAATTTGGAAATATAAAAAAACGAGAGTTGTCACGGTCTGCTTTATCTACTTGCGCGGTTAACCGAGGACATCATTGGGAGCTCTGGATGACAGCTATTCGGATTTAAAAATGGGTCTAGGGCTTTGCGACTCACCAGAGCTAACCATTCAGCTCGGAGCATAGAATGTGATGTGATTCATTCTTGTGAATGTAATTGTGGCACAGTTGAGATTTTTCAGCATTTTATAGAACACAAAGGACAATTTATTGTATTTTTCTTTAAATATTAATCGGGTATAAAATCATGGCGGATAAGGTGGACGGGATGCGAGGTTCACATCGGGAGATAGAAGCACAGACGTTTTACCCTGGAACTCCTACAGCGGTGAAACTAAGAGGGGTCATTTGCGTAGGTTGAAGTTTAAATAAATGGTGCGTGAGGATGTGGACATCTGGGTCAGGACAATGTCTGAAGTCGGGTTCCTGTGAACACGATAATGAACTTTTGCTTCCTATAAATTACGGACATTTTCTTGACTAGCTGTACAACTATCAACTTCTGAAGAAGATTTATATTATATGGCATTTACTGTCGAACCTTCCCTGTAATGTGAAAAACGGTATTGTTAAATTCTTAAAAAAAATTTTACTATATTATTACGTCACCAACAATTGTATCAGCTGTGTAGTAGGTATTTGAATTCGTAATGCGGTGTAGCTTGTGTTAATCGATTTTTGAAACCTCTCCGGAAATTAAACTCTGGGATTTTAATCATAACACAGTAATACATTGTCTCTGATTTATTACTGCCTTTCCCTTTACGAAAATTTTGTCTTGCGGTGGAGCGAAGAACTTCCTCGTGGACAGCTTTACCCTCCGCCATCAACAAAATCTACTATGCAAGACACAATGAATTGGTTTTAACAGCTGTTGATTTAGGATGGTGTGCGATGTGTGAAGACACATTTAGTGCTCCATTTCCTTGCTGTAACAGATGAGAGGGAAACAGGAGAACAGCAGACATGATTTACAAACACGTACGAAATTCGGATCTTGGATATCAGTGGGTACTGGGAACAAGAGTTACGCAATCGGGTTTAGTTGAAAAGGGTGTAAAGGCTATAGCTTGAAAGAGCGACAAGTCCATTCTCCAATAATGCTGTACAACATATAGGTGATTGATCATTTCCAGCGTCCCAATAGATTCCTCACCCTTCAAACGAGCAACCCTCTTACTCAGTCCCAAGGAGGTCATTATCAACAATAGTTCAACGCCTCTATCCCTTCTACGTCTTGCCCTCTGTCTCGTTTTGTTTTTTGTATTTTTCTCTTGTTCACTCCTCGTCGTGTTATCTCTTATTCTTTGTGGTGCTGTCCCATGCCCTTAACAGGGTTGTGTTATAGCGTTATAACTTCGTAATACAAGGGGTGATGGTGGAATAAATGGCATGAGGGGTGAAGTATAGAAGAGGGTGCGGATTAAATTGAAGAAGATTAATATATGTTCGTAACGATAGAAACAGACAGCTGGTGGAACTCCTTAATCTATGTGGAACAGCGGTAGAGTTGCTTCGTCTCTCAAGGACTGTGTGTCGACCCCTTTAAAAAGTGTTTCCTTGTCCAATGTGATATTGATAAGGGGTGTAATGCGAGAATTGAGTCCACGAAAGGGCACAGTACGCTGTGAGCAACTGCCTGCTTGAAATTATGCGTTTTGTGTAATGGGCTCCGAATTTTGAAAATTTCAGGCGGGCGCCAAGGTTTGTGTTCGAAATTTTTGTAGCAGAAAGTCTCAAAAAGGATTAAGAAGACTCAGGTGACGACAGACATTCGGCGCCAAGACTGCAAGGAACTGACGGAGTTGAACTGCAGTGCTTGAATATCAAGAATCTGTGTAGTCGGAACGAAAATTAAAACACACACATAAAACTCTCCCAGCTTCACTACGTATCAAGAATGCGGACGCGAGAAGCGTCATGAAAACTGAAAACATTCAAAAATATTTTCTAGGCCCAAATGAGTATTAAGTTACGTCGATATAGAGTAATATTAACAAAGGTTTGGATTGAAATGAGTAATTGTGGGAAAATTGTTTAACAGTTAAACTAAAAGTGAGGAAAATTTAGGGGGTATTCAGTACCCCGTGAAATCCTTTATTTGGTGTAGGGTCTCAAGGTACCCGCCCAGATAGTGAAGTTGTGAAATATATTCAGTTGACTTGTGATAGGGTGTGTAAACATTGTGCAGAGAGTTTGGGATAAATAGATGCTAGAAAATTTTTAACCTAAGGAATAACCTTTTAAGGACGCTTCTGTACTATATAGTTAATTTCTTTAGAGGAATTTGTCAGAGGAAATTCCATTAAACCCCCTACTCCGTATATGCT